CCAACTTATTGCAAATTCCGATTTATTGGATGCCAGAGAGTCCTAGTCTCCTCAGATAGGACGTTTCCACATCTTCTTGAGTTAATATGTTTGCCCTATCATGCTAATGTTTATTTCCCCAAGTGCAGAAATTACCAGAGATCAACACAGTAAAGTTAATTTCTTTAAAGTATCAGAATATATATATGATTAATTAAATACTGAAGAACTGTAGTGATTCTTCGTATGTTCGTCTACCAGCCAATCAGTTATCTCGTAGATTTCCCTCTGTTTCCCAAGTGTTTGGCTATGAATAAGCTAAGACTCAAGGGCTAGGAGAACTGTACTTATCATTATTGCTGATTGATGAGATTGTTGGGATTCTTGTGAGTTCAACTTTTTATCTCCTTACTGCTGGCTGGCTACCTTAAAATTTCATGGTTTAGCTGGACCATATATTGTTCAGATCACTCCTGGTGTGATTGGGTGAAGGACTGTCTTACAGATAGTGCATTGTTGATATGAATTATGCTTCCTGCCACTGAATAAATTTACTCTTATTATGTCTGGCAGCTATCATGGGGTGTTCAGTATGCTAGAATTTCACGCAACCTTTGGCCATACCAATAGGATTTCATAGTTTTAGATAGTTTGAGTCTTTGAGGTTTCTTCCTAATCTAGATTTATCTTTTTTTCAGTGGTTTGCAGGCAATTACAGCTACCAAATAGCACTTAGCAACACAGAAGCTGGTGTTGTCAATATTATTTCATCAACATCTGGATTGTTTACCTGTGATTCTTGCTGCCATATTTCCATCATCCTTAACAGACAAGTTTACTCTCTCCAAATTGGCCTCAGTTCTTCTTATGGTTGCAGGTGTGGTAAGTAGTCAAATATTGTATTAGATGTAATGTACAGTACTGTCCATTTTTATATTATTACAGGTATATTATATTATTTTATTTTTTTAAGACTGTATCACATAACCAGCCAAAGGCCCAGATTTTAGCATATAAAATTTTATGCTTCATCTTTGTGATATTTATCCACCAAAACTTCCATAGTTCATAATATATCATAATTCAACTATTTTTCAGAAATTTCCATCCTCAAAGTTTGCACTATCCAAAATTGCTAATGGCTATGTGTTGTCTGTAAGAATGGTGTTGGTAGCGTCAGTAATGTGCAGTGAGTGTGGAAGGTGGGTACACAAGAGGTGCAGTGGTGTGGATGGGAGACTGCAGGATGTTGTTGACTTTAAATATTTTGTACCTGTATGTGCAAATAACCACAAGGGTGGATCCAGGGCGGGGGTTCCCTTTTCAACAGAAAATTCCAATACTTTTTCTTTAATGCAGTATTGTACTCAGGCATTTTTGTATTGTAAAAGTATTTACTATTGATTTTAGAATATCTCCTAATATCAAGTGCACATAGCCTCAAAATGTACATGATATTGGTCAGATTTAAAACATCTTCTGGGGGGCTTACAGGTAAATTAAAGAGATACTGTAAATTTCACATTTAACCCCATTCATATCTGCAGGCGTTCGTAAGTTGGACGTTCGTTAGTCGGGGATCCCTGTACAGTATTGTAGTGTATCTAGTTTTTGAGATACACTACATGTTCTGGAAAGTGTACATGTGATAATGATACATGTTTGAAAGCTAGGAGACCTCATTACTGTTTTGTGATTGATGACAGTGTTTATCCAAGAAAAAACAGTTTAAAACTTTGAATATACCCAACAAATATTTTTAAGATATTTTGGATATATGTCTTGCCAATTACTTTTCAGGTTTTTGTTAGTTTGGAAGACCTCAACCTTGAAAGTTCAGTTGTGCCTGTTGGTGTGGTATGGTCAATAGCTGGAGCTATTCTTTATGCCTGTTACATGGTCTTCCTGAAGCACAAGGTTCCAACTGAAGATCGTATGGATTTTACTATGTTCTTTGGTAAGTGAATTAATTTCCTCTCCTTTCCCTTCTATCATCTCTCTCTCCTCTTCTTTGCACTCTTCCCTCCCCTCCCCCCATTCCATGCCCTTAGTACCCAGTTAGCTCTGGGAGATTTATTGATCAATCAGATATTGTTTTAATAATAATAAAAGCTGGCACTTTTGAGAAACAAAAGCTCCAATTCTTCCAAGTAATTCACTAGCGCTCAAAATTTCACAAGTCAAAGTTCTGAGAATAAAAAAATAAAAATAAAAATATAACAAAAATCACAAGAAGTGACAGTTCATTAATCCTTAAGTTGTATCACTTCCAAAGCTCTTTTCAGGATCATGTGCTTTCAAAATAAAAGAAAGGTCGTAAGTTGTTTCTTAAAAGCCTCCACAGAAGTCAGCTGCTTCATGGATGCAGGCAAATGATTGTACAATCTGGGTGCGATATAGGAAAAGGATTGGGCCACAAAAGAGCATTTCCACAATGCTCTAGGTCAGAGGATTTAGTAGGTTGGACAATTACTTAGGCTCATCAAACATAAGTGCCTTAAAAGTCATTAGGCAGAGTTTGAACTTTTTTCTTTCTTTAATTGGAAGCCAGTGCAATTCGATTAAGAATAGGGTAGTGGAAGTCCCCAGTAGGAGAGCACATGTAAGCCTGGCATCCTTTTTCACCACCCTGAACTTTTTTCACTAGATAATTAGGTAGGCAAACCCATAAAGAGTTAAAATAGTCAACCCAAGACAAAATAAGTGAATATAAGTGCCACAAGACACTGTCTATCTAAAAACTGTTTCACAGCCGATAGATTTTGAATATGAAAGTTGCAACTGAGTTTCTATGCTCTTTAACCTTTTAGCTGAATGAATTCTTCTGGCATTAGCAGATGCTTCCCCAAGGTATACTAGAGACTGTCAATTGATTGAAAATGTCCAAAGGAGGGCTACCAGACTGGGGCCTACTCTACAGAACCTCAAATACTTAGAGAGATTAGAACGCCTGCAACTACCTAGCTTATACTACAGACGGGCGAGAGGCGACCTAATCAATGTGTATAAACACCTCAGGGGGCACTGCTTGGTCTAATGTACATACCTGGAGCTGGCGGACGTCCGCCTCACAAGGGGTCACAGCTCAAGGTTGAAGAAGCCACAAGTCCATAAAACTGTGAGGGCAAACATGTTTGGAGTGAGAATTGTGAATTCGAGGAACAATCTACCCGAGAGTGTTGTGACGGCACTGAGTGTGAGCTCATTTGAGACCAGATTTGACCAACATTGGAGCAGGTTCCGATATACTCAGGAGTCAGTGCATGCCCAGTATTCGCCAACAGTACATAACAGAGATGTGACCGACTGCCCAAGCTGCTAATGAGCCAATCGGTAGCAAAGAGGATAAAAGTAAAAATAAAATGAATATAGTACCTAAGTGTGGGGCTGCCCTCTAAAGGGTTAATCGAGATAGACTCTAAAATTCAGTTTTGAGTCAAAGTATACATTCCAAGATTATGAGCAGAATTGACAGGATTGAGTTGTACTTCTCCAAAGTTTAAAGAGCCAAAATCATCTGTGCTGTAACCCCTCCTATTTCCTTGGATGACGATAATCTCGGTGTTGCCATCATTCATCTTAGGTTTTCGTCTAGCCATCCATTTTTTAATATCAGACATCAAGAATTTCAATATCTCTCAATATCCTTGACATTTATCATTTGGACATAAAGCTGTGTATCATTGGCATAGAAATAGTAAGGCAACACCATGAACATCCTGTAGGTTATGTATATAAGCTACTGTGCCGAGTAGCAACCCTGTACATAAGCTACTGTGCCGAGTGTACATAAGCTACTGTGCCGAGTAGCATTTATATATATAATCACGTGGCAACACTGCACGTGTTATGTGGCAACATTGCCCCGAGGCTGCCATATGGCAAGGCAGCTTCAGTCTGACTGTGTGAGCCGTGCTTGGCACACGCTGGTCACCACTTGTATTTCTCTCATCCACAATAAATGGACTCAGTGTTACTCAGTGTTTCCCTAGCCATCACAGCATTCTTCAGGGCACACTAGTAACTTTCATGGCACAGTGTCAAGGATCTGTGGACTTACAAAGTGTGTGAACAATGCCGACAGTTACGTCTGCCGGTGATGCGCGTCGACTCAGTGTGTTGTGTTGTGTTGCGCTGTGTTTCGCCGCGATGTGCAGTGTTGCGCCGTCACAGTGCGTTTTAGTGACAGTGGCAGTGTTAGTGTCAGTGTATTAGTGTGTGTCTAGAGCTAAGTTGAGCATTGGCCTGTTTTTTTGTGGTACCCACGGAGCACGCAGGCGCACACCCTTCTCGTGCGACATCCGGGGGACACTGACGGTCTTGCCGGACCACGCAGCTGTCCACGCTCCCTCCGCTCTCTCAGACACACACACGCACGCACGCACGCACTCACTCACTCACTCACGGACAGAACAGTGGACCTGGACCATAAGCGTGATTTTTGCGCTGTTTATGTCTTATATATGTGGTTCGAGCTGTTGAGGCGCCACTTTATATATTAAACAGTGCAGTCCACGCACACACAAAGATGGGAGGTAAGAAGGGACAACGTCAAGATGGGAGACACGACTCCCCACCACCTTCTCCTCCACCGGGCGCAGACTCTCATCCTCCACCTCCAGTGACGGACATCGCCACAATTCTGAAGTGGATGGACGACCGGGACGAGCGACGTAGAGAAATGGAACTTCAGAGGGAGGAGACACGAAGAGAGGAGGAAAAGTTGCGTTTTGAGGCGCTATTGGCGACCCTGGCGCTAACCCACCCTCCCTCACTTGCAGGTAGCGCGCTTCAAGGCGCCAGTACACTCCCTCCTCCACCACACCAGCGTCCTCCAGGTACTCTTGCTACCCCAACAGCTCCCAAGGCATCTGTTCAACCCCCACCCGCCCTCTCACCAGACGTCACGTTTCAGCTTTTTCGTGAGTGGAGGCGGCGTTGGACAGATTACTCCACGATGGTGGACCTTGACAGCATGCCTCCAAACAAACAGCTCATCCAACTGCGGATGTGTTTGTCGCTGGAGACCCAGAGAGTTTTGGAGCACACGTTGCAAGTGCCTCCCGATTCTACCTCTTCAGTGACGGATGTGCTCGACCTTTTACAGGAGCATGTTAAGGGTCGGAACAACGAGGCTTTGCGTCGCCGTGCCTTTACCAGCTGCAAGCAGGCGGAGAACGAATCCTTTGACGACTTTTTTGTACGTTTGAAGAGTTTGTCGGAGGAGATCGACGTCTGCAAGGCGCACAGCCGGGAATGTGAGGAAGCCTGGATCAAGCACGGGATCTTGACAGGTGTCAGGCACGAAGAGTTGATGCAGCGACTCATCCCCCTGGACGCTTCCTCCACACTCCAGGTGGTAGTGACTGAATGTCGGTCATACGAGGCCACCAAGTCCGCCACCTCTGCCTTACGGGCCCCACCTGCTGTGAGAGCTATCTCACAATACAAGAAGGATAAGAAGGCGGCCAACAACGCGAAGGCTGCCACACGTTCTTCCACGCCTCCGCCTAGTGCTTCCTGTGGCAGCTGTGGAAAGCAGCACAGCCCCAAGACATGCCCGGCCGCCGACGCACTGTGTCGTGGATGTGACCGTAAGGGCCACTGGTCTAACACAGACTGGTGCCCTGCACGAGGCCACAAGTGTCAGGCCTGCGGTCGCTATGGACACTACGACAAGTGCTGCCGCCAACCCAAGCCCAAAAGCCCGAGACGAGGAGGACAGCAGCGCACTTCCCTCGGGGTGGTTCGCACGCAGCCCCCTCCAGATGGCCCACGCAGCCCCAAGCAGCAGCGGAGTCACATCAGGAGGGTGGAATCGACCACACGCCCCAGGGCTACCCCTTCCCCTACTATCCGCGTCGCCGTCACACACGGTGATGTGTCGGGTCACATCGAGGTGATACCGGACACCGGCGCCGATACTACGGTGATAGGCCTGAAGCACCTCCAGAAACTGGGCCTCACCAAACGCGGCCTGGGACCACCGCCGCAGCTGCAGTACTACAATGCGGACGGTTCCCAGATGCCGGACGCTGTGGGCTCCTTTCAGGCAGAGATCACCTACGGCGACAGGTCGTGTTACTGATGGATCGACGTGCGGCCTACTCTCGCTACACCCTTGTTGTCGTGGGTGCACTGCAAGGAGTTAGGCGTGGTGCCCAGAGACTTTCCTGAGCAGATCCCAGCTGCTCGGTACACCGCCAGCAGGGTGCGTGAGTTAACGAGCGACGCGCCTGGCACTGCCACACAGAGCTGCCCAGAACCCGCATCCACTCCCACCCACACAGGACGCTCCCCTGCCCAGATCCTGTATGGTCACCCTCTCCGCTCTTGTGTTCCTACACACGCCAAGGCCTTTGCGAAGGACTGGCAGACCAGAGCCGAGAGCTGCGACCGCCGCGCCGCTTCACGTGCCCAGGACGCCAAAGCTCGGTATGACGACCGTGCCCGCCCTCTTCAGCCACTGGAGATTGGTGCCCTTGTCTGCGTCTGGGACCCGACGACGACACGTTGGGACAAGGTGGGCATAGTGATGGGCGTCGGCCGGTCGCGGGACTACAAGGTCAGGATGCCGAGCGGCCGTGTCTGGTGGAGGAACCGCCGCTTCCTCCGGCCAGTCCCACCCCCTGCTGCTGGCCCCCTGACCGAGGACGAGTCACCTACACCTCACGAGGATCCGCCCCACAGTGCACCTCGACGCTCGGAGCGACTTAGGACTAAGAAGTCCGCTCAAGACAAAGACTATGAGCGTGAGGGGGGAGGGAGATGTAGGTTATGTATATAAGCTACTGTGCCGAGTAGCAACCCTGTACATAAGCTACTGTGCCAAGTAGCAACCCTGTACATAAGCTACTGTGCCGAGTAGCATTTATATATATAATCACGTGGCAACACTGCACGTGTTATGTGGCAACATTGCCCCGAGGCTGCCATATGGCAAGGCAGCTTCAGTCTGACTGTGTGAGCCGTGCTTGGCACACGCTGGTCACCACTTGTATTTCTCTCATCCACAATAAACCGACTCAGTGTTACTCAGTGTTTCCCTAGCCATCACAGCATTCTTCAGGGCACACTAGTAACCTACACATCCAGCAAAATTACAAAACTACTGGTATGGACTGTAAACAGAAGTGGTCCCAAAACTGATCCGTGAGACGACAAACTGCAAAGGGACCGGGTCTGAAACGGTTCCACCAACTATCACACATTGAGATCACTCTGACAGATAAGACTCAAACAGTGAGAATGCATCATCATGGACACTGAATGACCAAAGATCCTGAAGCCATGCTGCAAATGCTGCAGAGAGATCCAGTAGGGCCAGGAGGGAGGACTTTTCTGTGCAAGTGTTTATTACCAAATCATTATGAATTCAACATAGGCAGTTTCAGTTGAATGATGCAACCTATAGGCTGACTGGACCAGATGGATCACTTGCTTCTCTCTAACAGAGAAAGTAACTAATCCAGCATAGTATGATCTCTGATGAAAATGAGACTTGAGACTGGATGACTATAATTTTACATATTTTCAGTATCAAGACCAGAAGTGGATGTAATAAAGCCTGTTTTTCAGATCACACAAAATTACCCTCTGAAAATCACATATATATGATTCTACAAATAAAGTCTGCAGTATGTTCATAAGAGAGTGATACCTTAAATACATTTGTAAGATCACGACAACAAAGTCTTCTTCAAATCCTTGATATAGTGCAGAATGTTGTTCACCTCTGTAAGACAAAATGATGAAAGAGTGAGTTCTATTGTGTAACTTGGTTAAAAATAACTGAAAATTTCTCATCTAAAGAAACACAATCAAGGTCACATGATATCTTTGTCATAAAAACCTTAGGAAACATCTGAGGCAAGCTGACCATTTGAAGTGGAACAAAGCATAGTAATTCCAGACCTTTGGCCCAACAGCCCATTCATAACTGTATATATTTTTTTCTGGTCACTGCCACATGAGGCCACTTGACTTCTGTAGTATACAATATTCAGCGTTGTGTGCCCACACTGAACAAACAACAGCCGTACGCACAGTCATATTATGTACTCTGATCTAGTACGGTCTTTTCACTGCCTGTGCTTCTCTCATTCAGCACTTCTAC